ATTTGGACTGGTTTTGAACAGTGGGTTAACTTACTTTTTAAATGCTATCATTCCTACTTATCTAATTATTGTCTGGGTACTGGCTCTTTCTCCTGTCTTTCAAGGCCATTCCCTCTACAGGTAGCCTGTTCTGACTCATCATTCCTTCCCTTCAGCATGCAATCAGATGCAAGCAGAAACAAAACAAAAAGTTCTCAATTGCATTCAGAGCAGGGGTGTCAAATTGGTTGCCCATGGGCTGGATGCATTGCGCGCAGGCCATTCCCACCCCAGCTCTGTGATGGGAAAAACATCATGAAACTTCACGTGATGGCATTGTGACACCACGAATTTGACACCCGTGATTTAGAGGATTTTGATCGATGGATTAGATTTTGTTACAAATGTGTGAAACAAGAGGTTTGCCCTCTGCTGTACAATTAGAATAGCAGCCGTTGGGTATAGAGTTTATTATATTCTTTGCCTTGTGTGCCTCCAGGAGATGTGCTATCTATGCATGCAGCGTGCTCAGAGGAATATTCCTGTCTACTTGGGTGAGGAAAAAAGAAGGAAGGAAAAAATAGAAGACTGCATCCTGGCCCAGTATCAAGCCATAAAAGATCACGAAGCCCTTCAGAAAGAACTGGTATTAGGACTGGAAACATTTTTATTTTTTCTTTCTTTCTAAAAAAGCAGGACTTTTGGAACTAAAAGGGCAATGTTCATTTTATTCATGACAAATTCGCATCAGTGGTAGGTTCCTACCGGTTGACTGAACCGGTAGTAACTTGGCAGCATGGGTCGCTGGAACCGACAGTGACCCAGGCCTGCCACGCTCCCGAACTGGTTGTCCTGCAGCGCCGTAGGCACCGCTATCTTGTTTTTGGCTTCTGCGCATGCGCAGAGCAATTTTCGCTTCAATGGGATAAACCAGACTCCCTTAACAACAGCGTTACTAACTTTGCAATTGCAATGAAGCACTGAACAACTTGGCAGGAAGGTTTGCAAAAGGTGGCAAAACTCACTTAACAAATGTCTCACTTCCCACCACAATTGAGCCCAAGATTTTTCTTTGCCAATTTTTATTTTATTTTTTATTCTCTTACATACCATTTTAAGTATACAGTCACATAATTGTTATTCTTCTTTACATTTGTCATTCTTATATATTTGTTATTTCATTTAATAGGTTATAATATACAGTTTGGGTTGCTTTATTTACCATCTCCTCCTCCTGTTGTGACACCACCTTATTTTCCCTTTCTTTTCTCCCTCCCTCCGTTCTCTACTTCCTTCCCCTTCCTTCTTCCCTTACCTTTCTCCTACTCCTA